TTTTTTTCTTTTCACGGTGAGCTAGTTGGTAAGACAATGGCCGTATGCGTTTTTTTCCTGTAGCCTGAGTTCGAGCCCCCGATGATCTGAGTGAATTAAATTTTTATCAACCAGGCTATTATGATGTCTTGCCATTTTCGAAGACATTTAAACGTTTGTCGTCAAAGGCAAACTGCCAATGACAGAGTAAGGAGGGAGGGATAGGGAGAGATAGGAGGATAAGGGGACGCAGGCATGTGAACGGAGATTAAGAAAAATGTGACAAAAAAAAACTATGAAAACAGAAGACATTTTCACGATAGAATTTGGAAATTGTGGAGCCCAAATTTTTTTTTTTAGTATAACGTAAGTACAACAGTCCGGAATTAATCGTAATATTATTATATATATATCTATATATATATATATATATATATATTATATATATATATATATATATATATATATATATATATATATATATATATATATATATATATATACCAAACCTGATTTCTGCTCTAACATAAAACTCTATCCTGAAATAGAGTTTTACACTTTTTATAGTGACACATTTTTGTATCCTGACACAGAGCTCGTTTTCTATCTGAACACAGTTTGGTTTCTTTCCGAATATAGCACTTGTTTTCTCTCTAGATACAGAACTCGTTTTCTATCTTCACACACTTCGTTTTCTCTCTGGATACAGAACTCGCTTTCTCTCCTGATACAGAAATCGTTTTTTTTCTTCACACACTTCGTTTTCTCTGCTGATAAAGAACTCGTTTTCTTTAGAAATGTTGAACTCGTTTTCTCTCTTGACACAGCTCGTTTTCTATCGTGACAGAGAGTTCGAGCCTCGACTCGGGGAAAAAATAGAGACTCGTGGGGGCAATTGAAGAAGATAAATGCTCAATGACCCCACAGCCTAGTCGACGAGGGATTGAGATGGGATTCTGTTAGGGAAGGGGGAGAGAGAGTGGCTTTAGTGTGGGGGAGTTGTGTTAGTAGGGGGCGGGGATCTATATCAGGGGGAGATACTGAAGCAATGAAAAAAATGGTGGGGGATGGGGGAGGGGAATAGGGGCAAATCGGATTGGAAGTTTTTGAGCAGGAAAGACCTTATGTGAATAAGATGTAACTAGTGTATACATGATTGTGATGGTAACAATGCCGATTGTGTTATACGTAATGACTCGAACCATATATAGATGATTTTATATGATTTTATATAGATTGATGATATAGCTCAATTTTGTATTATATACCCAGCATGATAATATGTATCCAGTGTGGCAATGTATACCCAGTATGGCAGTATATACCCAAAACGATATTATGTATCCAATTTGACCATGTACTCAATCTAACAGTAACTATATATTATTGCATGTTTCCATTATGAATGTAAAATATCGAAAATGGATCAACAACATACCAGTGTATGTAATATATCCCTGTATTCCCGCAATATGTAACTATATGTGCGCAGCATGATGGCATATGTAAGTAAATATATATATATATATATATCCTTGCAACAATGCACATATATATATACAAATTCCCTATTTTCCCACCAAATACCCTCAACAAAAAACCACCATCAACAATGGAGACTTTGCAGCATTGCACACAAGTGATTCCTGCCTTCCACTAGTGGTGGCGGTGGCGGTCTGCATGGCTATTCGATTGCAGCTTTGGATGCTAATTTGCTAATAACGACGGCGCTAGCCGGGGTCCACACCACTGATGGTTATCTGAGCAGTGGAGGGAGTTGTGAGCTTGTTGATGAGTTAGTTGTTGTCAATTGGTGGTGATCGATGCGCCCAGTTTCCACACTGCCACAAGCCAATGATCAGGAATATTCACCTAAAGGAATATCTCCCGCTTATCTGTGTGTGTGTGTATATATATATATATATATATATATATATATATATATATATATATATATATATATATATATATATATATATATATATATATTTATATATATATATATATACTCAGAATTATTGAGTATACACACTCTCAGACTGTAGGGAATTGAGGTAGCAACTACAGCTGTCGTAATGGGTAGTTTACACTTGCGACATTCAGAGCTATGATTAGTTTGCAACGAATATTAAAACAGGCGATTTGATGGGAAGAGGGAGGAAGGGGGGGTTGTGGTTGGATGGAAGGCTGTGGTTGAGATGTGAGGGGTTGGGAGCAACTAGTTGGGTGATGGTGGTTGAGTGGACAAGGGGCTGTTGCTGGTTAATTGTGGTAGTGTGGAGAAAGAAGGAGGGTAGTTTGGTGGTAATGGTTGGTATGTGGAGGCGCGGGTTTACTGGAGGATAGTGGTTATGTGGAAGGGTGGAGACTTGTTGGGTGGAAGTGGATTGAGAGAAGGTTATTTCGTAGTGGTGATCCTGAAGCGGGGGATAATAGGTGGTGGTAGTTAGTGACTGGGTGATAGGTCATCTCATCCTCACGAATAAAGCATAGCATTTTGACGTTAAAAAAAAAATCACTATATCACAACAGCTCGCAAACATTCACGCTTTGAATGCTTGGGTCCCTAGGTTAGGTTAGGTTAGGTTAGGTTAGGTTAGGTTAGGTTAGGCTAGGCTAGATTCGACTCAAGAAATTTAGCACATTTTTAGTACGTTGTGATAACTCGAGATGACAGGCTGGATAGATACCCGCCAAACACACACCGAAACTACAACGTTGCTATAACGTTCGAACAAGTTTTAACACCTCCTAACCAGTTATAACAACCAATATATCAAGTTGTAACAACGTTCTAATACGTCATAAACACGTTAAGCCAAGATGTAACAACTTTATTACAAGTTGTAACAACCGGAAAATGGAGACAGTTTCGGTTTGTGTTTCCAGGGTATAGTGGTGGTAAGGAGGCGAAGTCACTGAGTAGTTGTGCATTAGGAGCTGGTGGACAGTGTAATTGGCTGGTGGACAGTGTAATTGGCTGGTGGACAGTGTAATTGGCTGGTGGACAGTGTAATTGGCTGGTGGACAGTGTAATTGGCTGGTGGACAGTGTAATTGGCTGGTGGACAGTGTAATTGGCTGGTGGACAGTGTAATTGGCTGGTGGACAGTGTAATTGGCTGGTGGACAGTGTAATTGGCTGGTGGACAGTGTAATTGGCTGGTGGACAGTGTAATTGGCTGGTGGACAGTGTAATTGGCTGGTGGACAGTGTAATTGGCTGGTGGACAGTGTAATTGTCACACAGTGGTTAAGTTTGAGAGTCTGGTAGTCGAGTTTATTATTGAGCCAAAGTGCTTGTGTGGCAGCAGCAATTATCAGCATTCACTGTTAATTCAGAATCCTAAAATTTATTTACATCCCCTCAAGAAAAAGTCGCGTTATATCATTAAATAGCGTTAACGACAGCCCCTCTGAGGCACAAGTTTTTTTTACAAAGACGATATTAAGGACACTATCAGTCACTTTAATCGTCTCCAAATACCGTTTAAGGGGGAAGGGAAGGGATATAGGGATTGGATTAGGGTCAGGGGTCCCAGGAAAGCGAACGAAGGTGAAGGAGAGTGTAAAAGATAACGATGATTTAAACAGGAATTTGAGTCTTTGTGTGGAAGTAGGAAAGAGGGCTAGAAGAGACAGACGAATGCAGATTAATATACAGCAGCAATAAATGACGATAAATGTCATAAGAACGGCTCATTAATGCGTCACAAGAGGGTAATGGAGGTAATTAAGCGTTCCTCCTAATCAGTAGCTAAAATACGGATTGGTTGCCCATTTCAGAGGTATTCAGCGGCGTCGACCAGCAGGAACCCATTACCCCCTTGATACACTTCTCTGAAGAGCTTCGCTATGTTAGAGATATAACATAAAAATAAAGATATAGATAATAAAGATACAAGATAAAAAAATAACAGGGTGAAATATCCTGAGCTCCAACAGCACACTCGTGTCATTAGAAACATGACTTAATGGGTAAGAATTCTGGGGGAAAATGAAACGATTGGACCCATTGTCCCTATTCGTCCCTCTGCACCCATTAGGAAATGGGGGACTAGTAGGAACGAAAATAGGAAAAATCACGTATTTTTTTTTTTACAAATTAAACGCTAGTAAAGGAACAGGTTCCAATTCATGGGTTGGAACCAGTTAATAAATTGGTGAATTTATTCAGTGAATAAATTGGTGGATTTATTCAGTGAATAAATTGGTGGATTTATTCAGTGAATAAATTGATGAATATTAAAGTGAAGATCTCGAAGATTGTTTTGTAAGGATATCTATAGAATTATGGTTAAATTTGTTTAGAATACTCAATATATTAAATTTTGATCATAGAGTTATTTTTCCTGATATTTCAACTATGTTTTTGGTTTACAAATTTGCATATAAGTAAACTACCGTAATAATGTGTTTTATATATCATTAAAATTTTATGTAGCCCATTTATGATCCATCAAGAAATATAAAATATTTTTCTAGTAATAATTTCAACATTATCTTTGTATTGCTGAATAAAAACCTAAATCACATAGATTCAGATTATATATGCAAATGCAGTAGAATAAAAAAAAATGCATAACTAAGGGGCTGGTTATGCAGGTCTCAGATAATCGATGTTTACGTTTAAAATATTTTCTTGAGGTTATCTTGAGGTTATCTTGAGATGATTTCGGGGCTTTAGTGTCCCCGCGGCCCGGTCCTAGACCAGGCCTCCACCCCCAGGAAGCAGCCCGTGACAGCTGACTAACTCCCAGGTACCTATTTACTGCTAGGTAACAGGGGCATTCAGGGTGAAAGAAACTTTGCCCATTTGTTTCTGCCTCGTACGGGAATCGAACCCGCGCCACAGAATTACGAGTCCTGCGCGCTATCCACCAGGCTACGAGGCCCCCCAATTTTTTATATAACTTTTAAAACAATATAGAGTCTGTTGCTTGCAAATAACTGCACCTCTCGTGCAATTTTTTTTCTCCTTCGTGTTTATATTAATGACATTATTTTTTTTATATATATTCCAGAGAACATAGAGCAAGCGACGGCTGTGGAGGGCAAGACAGCAGAAATCCCCTGCCTTGTGACCTCTACTGACAAGGTCATGTTGACCCTTTGGTATAAGGACAACACTGGCATGCCGATCTACAGGTGGGTTGCTCTCAAACAGATATACCTCTCTCAAACAGGTGGGCCTCTCCCAAACAGGTGGGCTTCTCCCAAACAGGTGGGCTTCTCTCAAACAGATATACCTCTCTCAAATAGGTGGGCTTCTCTCAAACAGAAATACCTCTCTCAAACAGGTGGGCTTCTCTCAAACAGATATACCTCTCTCAAACAGGTGGGCTTCTCTCAAACAGGTAGGCTTCTCTCAAACAGATATACCTCTCTCAAACAGATATACCTCTCTCAAACAGTTGCGCCTCTCTCAAACAGATGGGTTGATCACAAACAAGTGGGCTGCTCTCAGACACTCTTCTTATAACTTTCATTAATAGTTATAACCATGACCTAAGCATAATAATGACGTTAGTATTTATTTACTCAGTAAAATCAGTAATGACATTGGACGCTGATCTCATTAAATGCAAATAAACTACATTGAAATTGGAGAATCGTCTGAAGGTTTTTCGTTACTTGACGTGACCATTGTTAGAGTAAAAAATATTTATTTATTACATATAAAATTATTATTATTATTATTATTATTATTATTATTATATTATTATTATTATGTATTTTTATTTTAAATCAAATTATCTTTATCATTATAATTATTATTAAAAATGACAAAAATAATTTTTATTATTATTGTTTTTACTATTCAAATATTAACATAGAAGTGCATTGATTGATATATATTATTTTAGAAATATATTTAAATATAGATAGATAATAGATGAAAGGAAAGAGTTATAAATAAAAAAAAATAAGTAATGTGATGGAAACCTTAATAAGAATAATTGAAGAAATGTAGATATTTTAGAATTTGATCTTTAATGAGAGAGAGAGAGAGAGAGAGAGAGAGAGAGAGAGAGAGAGAGAGAGAGAGAGAGAGAGAGAGAGAGAGAGAGAGAGAGAGAGAGAGAGAGAGAGGAATCCACTTGGCAGGAATGAACTTTTATGGTAGGGCTATAACGCTGTCTCTCAAGATCAATTTTCCGACTCGTCAAAACGGGTTATATCCGGCCGTAAATCGTCCTATCATCGCGTATCAACTGTCGCGAACTGTGTCCACAGCCTTCTCTTCCACCCATTGTTTACTTCCTCTTCCTGCTTCTCCTCCTCCTACTCTATTTTACGCCTGTCGGCTCTCCATCTTTATCAACTTTTCTTTATTCCTAGCGAGTACTTACCTACTCGACCCCCTCTCATTCAGCTGTTTCTCTGTATATTTTTTTACTCCCTTTTCTAAATTAAAATTTTTACTCATTGTTTCTCTCGCTCACTCGCTTCTTTTTCACTCTGTTTTTACCTTTTGTTTCCTCTTTTTTCATCCATCTCGTCTCACTTGGTCATATTCAGTCATATTCAACAAGATATGTCCACAAGAAAGACTGCTACCAAAATATACACACACACACACACACACACATATATATATATATATATATATATATATATATATATATATATATATATATATATATATATATATATATATATATATATATATATATATATATATGCGGAAAATCCACAGAGAAATATGAAATGAGGTGAACGTTTCGGCTTTGTTAAAGCCTTTGTCAACACCAGACTGACTGAGGAGTCAGTCTGGTGTTGACAAAGGCTTTAACAAAGCCGAAACGTTCACCTCATTTCATATTTCTCTGTGGATTTTCCGCATAAAATGATCAGTGTTTTGTGATCATCAATTGCATATATATATATATATATATATATATATATATATATATATATATATATATATATATATATATATATATATATATATATATATATATATATATATATATATATATTTAGTAGGGGTACCAAAACGAATTAATTAATTATAAGTAATTAGTTCATGACTAGTTAGAGTCTAATGACAGTAAAACATGATATGTGACATCCGTAGACTTTAAAATATAGCAAAACAATTCCTTTCTAAGTTAACTGCGTAAATGATGGTAATCTGCCAAAGCCAAGCACTGGAACCACGTTGAATTCACGGAATCATAGTGTCTATACTACGCAGGACAACATGCGGACAGAACTGGGCGCTTGTGCCTCTCATAATTACTAGACCACTGTGACATGGCCTTAGATACATTGGATAAAAAACTAAAACGTTGACGTTTTGTTTACCCAAAATTATAGGACACACAAATTTTACAAAAGATTTTGTCAAATGGGGTCATGGTATTATTGCACACAAAAATGCGCATAAAAGTAATTCCTGGCAAAGTAGGGAGATAATAGTCAACACAGTAAAATGTTTGTTGACTATTACTTCCGGGGTAGTTGTCAAAACAGTTTGACTATTACGTATTGACAAGTAATATATTTGACCTTTTCATCCACCGTCAAAAGCTCAGTCCTCTGAAGGTAACGTGCTTGCTCCGATACTAACTCCGTCCTCATATCAGATATAGATTATGATATAAACTATAGCACTGTATAATCCTTGGCAGATGATACTAGAATTTTCATGAGTAGACAATATAGAGGACACAACAAATCTCCAATCCGATGTTAATCAAGTCTTTCAATTAGCCAATGAATATAACATGTTTAATATGGATAAGTTCCAATTGCTTTGCTATGAAAAAACACGAAAATATCAAAACAGAAATCACATATATAATACAGTCAAACCAAACTATTGAAAGCAAAAGCAATGTAAAAGTTTTAGGAGTAATCATGTCGTAAAACCTTACTTCTAAAAGAGCACAACAAAGTTGATGTCACAACTGCAAGAAAAATAACAAGTTAGCTGACAAGAACCTTCCAAACAAGAGCTGCCACGGCAATGATGAAACTTTTCGAGACATTGCTCTCCAGAGAGAAATATTGCTACACACACTAGCAGCCCAAATCAAAGCTGAAGGGAATTGCTGACCTGGAAAGAGTGCAAAGATCATTTACGGCTAGAATCCACTCAATCTACATTATTGTGACCGACCAAAAATTTAAATCAGCATTTCCTAGAGCGCCTGCGGAAGAGATACATACGTATTTTCAATTGGAAAATTGTAAAAGGATTGGTTCCAAATGTGTACACATAAATAACACTACATGAGGGCGGATAGCTTGGCAGGATGTGCCAAATAGCGCCACTGATCAACCATTGATCAGTGGTTGCACTGATCAACGTACCTATTGCATCACTGCAATAGGTACGCTGAGAGAGAACTTATCAAAGGCTTAAGACTTGACAACGCTCCTCCCCTACACACACACACGGGGCATAACTGACCGACCTCTCGCAGTGTTCAAAATAGAACTCGACAAGCACCTTCAAAGGATACCTGCTCAACCAGGCTGTGACTCTTACGTCAGGATGCGACCAGCTGCATCGAACAGTCTGGTGGATCAGATGAGTAACCAGGAGGTTTGGTCAGAGGCCGGGGGCGCGGGGATGTTGATCCTCGAAATCTAGTCAACAGGTTTGTTTTCAGTGCACGAATGTACGTAGCGAAACATGACGTGCAGTCTCCGTAGAGTTGTGTATTGCCTCCTATGTAAACCTATTAGGATAGTAGATATCAACAGTGACATTGTAAACAATCAACAACGTAGGTTAAAAAAACAAAAGACTGAACCCCTGAAACCACTTACTGGTAAGAATAGTGTTATCAATATTAAAAATGGTACATTATGCTATATGATATTTGTTAGATCTCTCGGTAATTATCATGCCTTGTACCTAATTAACTTCGCCTCTGTGTTGGACAAACTAGAAGTAGTACAGAATGAAGCCATGAGGATAATTCTTGGTGCTCCAAGATACTCAAGAATCATCAACACGAGGAAAGAACTGAGGCTTCCAACCATAGTAGAGAGAATCATGCAAGTCAACACCACCATTTGCCTTAAAGTCATGAGAGACATTACATCTCTTGCATTGCTCACAGACAAATTATTCAGTGCTGTTAACACCCTATTGACTGGTGCCGACATACCAACTCACTCCTTTTATGATAAAATGGCAGAGTAAAAATGCCTACAATCTAATCAAACTGAACATTCCTTTTAAATGCAATTTACTTGTCTCCGATATTACACTTCATCTGTACCCCACCATTCAAGCATCATACACACACCCGTCATCAAGATAGGTAATGAGAATCTTGCTCTACTTAAAGCTGTCACACTTGAAACAATTGCATCTTTCATCGAAAAACTCCCGAGCACTGTCTACACCGACGGTGTAGACAGTGCTCGGGATATATATATATATATATATATATATATATATATATATATATATATATATATATATATATATATATATATATATATATATATATATATAAACACAATAAATACCTCAGAATAGAGAGCATGCAAAGGATAGATAAAGATCATTGCTGTGTAAATGTCCTACATCTCTGTATAATGTAATTTGTTGTCCCCTTTTGTGTTTAGTGTACCTGGTGAATTTTTAACATTATTAAATTTACCAAAGAAATATTTAATAATTCCTTGCCCATGATTATACAAGTGTTAAAGATACACTAAATTATGCAAATAAGAAATACAATAACCGAGAGAATTTACAAAATACTGCACGTCATCATCATAGATACACATATGACACATAAAAATAGATACAGGCAAACATTCTTTGAAACGAGTGAAGAAAGACCAACAAGCCTTGGGAAATAGGTTACACACATACATCAGGAGGCCAGCCAGTCCCCTTCATCTGTATTCAGAGATCACAACGACCCTGTTCGCTCTGGGGCTTAACGATCCTTCTTCCTTCCAATTAGGGACAATTTCACTCTCGCGAGAGAGAGAGAGAGAGAGAGAGAGAGAGAGAGAGAGAGAGAGAGAGAGAGAGAGAGAGAGAGAGAGAGAGAGAGAGAGAGAGAGAGAGAGAGAGAGAGAACCTATCCGGAATATGTGGGTTCCCAGGAGGCGCCACCAAGCCAAAATTTGAGTGGGATGCAATTTGACGTGGATAAGTTAGCCATCAAGGATAATGACCCTTAACAATGTTTGGGGAGTTTATGGCTGATAATGGTGATACCAGCCTCTATGGGGTCTTGTATTTCTGGATTTTGTCGGAATCTGGGTGAACGGGAAGGAAGAGAGAGAGAGAGGAACGGAGCGAGGATAATGGAGAGACACAGTGGGATAGAGGACTAGGTAGAGAAGGTGAGGAAGGGAAAGGAGAAAGAGGTGAAGGAGAAAGATGATGAGGATCGTTGGGATAAAGGTAACGATAAAAAGAACAGAGAACTGGAAGATGGGAGAGAGAGAGAGAGAGAGAGAGAGAGAGAGAGAGAGAGAGAGAGAGAGAGAGAGAGAGAGAGAGAGAGAGAGAGAGAGAGAGAGAGAGAGAGAGAGAGAATGAAGAGAATGAAAGAGAATGAGAGAGATAACGAGAGAGAGATAATGAGAGAGAGTGAGAATAAGAGAGAGAGATAGAGAGTGAGAGAGTGCTAGTCTTTATATATGTAGAAAAATGTACTACATTATTAAGGCGACATATAAAATAATCAGGAAGAACCCGACAAAGATATTTAACAAGACACAAACAAACATCAAATTAAAAATCCCACAAGCAACACTCCCTCATAACTTTCATATTTTGGTAACATCTTATCTTTCCCTTAGTAAGTCTCTATAATTAAATTTCTCCTCAAACGGGTCATTTTGTCTTCAATTTTCAGAGTCGTAATCATTCGCTAATTGGATAAAACACCACTTTGATGCTGTCTTACACCCCAGAAATGCATTCGTCATATTTCTCGAGATATTAACACGAGACAATCTTGAAGGAAAACTAAGAATAATTTGGTTGTGATATATTTTTAAGTTCATTCGTCTGGTTTTATATATGTTAATGCAGCTTGGCTTGTAATTATTATTATTTGATGGGCATAATGATTTTGCCACATATTTTGCCCAGTCAGATTTTAAATAATATAAAATGAAGATAATTCCTGGAGGCTACTTCAAAATTAAACCATTTAGTGTAAACCATTAATTTTTTAATGTTTGATGGGACAAGTATTTATTTCATGTGATCAAACACAGTTTGGAATTCCATTTAATCACTAACGTTGTCACGATCACTTTTGTTTAATTTTTTTTAACTAAGAGTATCTTAGAAAGCTTGATCATTTCCATTTTACTTGGCACCAGTTATCTCCCGACTGAAGTGGGGTTGTGACAGATTAGTCAGCCAAGCCCCACGCATGGATTTTGGGTGTAGTGTTTTTTTTGGTTAGTGTTTCAGCGTCATTCTTCAAAGGCAGGCGATGAGTCACAATAACGTGGCTGAAATATGTTGACCAGATCACACACTAGAAAGTGAAGGGACGACGACGTTTCGGTCCGTCCTGGACCATTTTCAAGTCATTCTCAAGGTAGAGAGGTAAAGAGAGATTTGAGAATGGTCCAGGACGGACCGTAACGTCGTTGTCGTCCCTTCACTTTCTAGTGTGTGGTCTGGTCAACTTTATTCTTCAAAATTTCGCGAGAAAACAGTTTTAATGCGAGAATGTCTGATTATTTTGATTTGATTTAATACTATATATGTTTTGGGATGATAACCTGTATGGTTTTTCTGATTGGCAACTAACTGTTGTTTATATATAAGAAGATGCGTAAAACAGTATATCAATTTACATATATATAGTGTAACAATATACACAAAATTGTCCGATTTAGTATGAATATTTCTGTCAACATAAAATACGCAAAAAATGTGAAATATTTTTGTATCACTGTTTAATTGGACCTTGAATGAGAAGTATAGTAATTATAATCACAGTTCCTTAACTAGCTTGTTCACACTAACTGCTCGATAAAGACGATTGGTACTACTCTCGTCTCTCTGCGGGACGGTAAACCCTCCGCTTGGAGTCTTGCTTCCGCGGGGACACTATAAGCCCCCGAAATCATCTCAAGATAACCCCCTCAAGATAACCTCTTCCCTGTTCTTCCCTTAGTTACGACGCCAGATCCAAAGCGACAAGGTCATGGGTGGACTTGGTGTTGGGGTCGAGAGCCACCTTCGTGCCAGACAGCACGCCGCCCTACCTCAAGTTAGAGGACGTGAAGGAGGAGGACGGAGGTGTCTACACATGTAGAGTCGACTTCAAGTTATCTCCCACCCAGCGAGCCAAGGCCAACCTCTCCGTTATCAGTTAGTGTCTCTCCCCTTTGAGGCCATGTTGTAGGACAGAGTGTGTCCTGCAGCACGGTCTGTTTGTTGTTTAGGATTTGCTACTTGGAACGAAAAGTTCCAAGCAGCACGGCCTATGGTGAGCCCGTAGTTGTGTGTAGTTGTAAAGAATGTCCTTTCTTGCACCTCTAATACTCTTAGTTGGTTTAGAGATGCA